GTAACAAAATGAGATTCTCTTGATAGGGGAATAGCATAGTATCCTTTGTTGACTCCTTTTCTTTGAGGTCTTTTGCCTCCATATTGAGGATATCAATCAAGGTCTCTTGCTTTTCACCCCCTTCTTTTTCTCCATCGGATTCGCTTTGGGACGAGATAACTTCTTCCCCCTCATGCTTATTCTCGCCTTCATCATTGTTAAGGACAATGCGCTTTGCCTCTAGATTGTCGGGTTCTTTGGTGCTTGATTGAACCTCATTGGTTGGGACCACATGTTGAGCTTCTTCTTCGACCATATTTTGTGTAAAAACGTCACTTGTTATGTGGACAAAATTTTGATACTTTCCCATGTTGTTGGAGACATCGAACGCTAGTCTTGCTATTGTTTCTCTTCCAATCAACTTACGCACCATTTCATAAGAGGAAACAAAATTTTCTTGCAAAATATAAAGAATTAAATCATCATATTTTGTATTTAGAAGAGAGAGAATACATAATACCACTTTTTGCTCAGATCTTTCTTCATCCGAGGAGGCATGTATGAGCTTGCATAGATTGGCCCAACACTCCTTTGCGGCTCGGATTTTATCATCCAACATTCCACCACATTCGGTTTGGATATTGTAAAGACTTCGAATGGCTGTGTATTCTTCCCATACTTCGTCTCTAATCTCCGTTAGAAATTTTTGGTGATTCATGATGGAAGAGAATAAGCAATGAGAACAAAACGAGATTACCTCACAATGTGAAAATTTTTGTTTTGTTTTGCAGCGGAAACATGAATAAAAGAGGTTTTTGAATCTTATGACTCTGATACCATGTAGAAAAATAAAATGCGGAAATAAAATAAAACAAATAGAAAGGAACGAAATTACTTTTATTGCTACATCTCTTCTTCTTCTGGTTACATTACAATGAAAATGAAATACATATTTATAGGAAAATTAAGGAACGGAGTAAAAAGGAAATATAGATACAATGGAAACAAATCAGATACATAATATTTGGCATAATGATATTGTATCCATTATTATTCTCCATCATATCTCAAATCTTATTTTACTCCAATCACATATTCGTTTTTCCATTTTAACATTCTGCGTAGTTTGTCCCCTATTGCTCAGAAATCGGGGATTATTGTCGGGGATGTTGTTCAATATGTGGGATCGAACGAGTGTTCAGTCCGAAGGGGTGTGAGACAGGTTTCCACCGTTAGAGAAAAAAATGTGTGTACCTGTTGTAATTAAATTCCTTGTGATTGTAAATTAACGTATTCAACTGATTTGTGCATATTCACATTTACATAAGGCTGACGAAATTACGTCACTCAAGGATCCCGATTGCATGTCCAGTGTTAGAAGGAAAAAAAAATTAAGAAGGACCTTCAACTCTGTAAGAAATATAGGGTTTCAAATATGATTCCAATTTTTTTATAAAATGTTATTCCGTGTTTATAAGATAAATGAGATTATTGGAATACGTTTTTTATATATAACAAAGATATTTTGATTTATCATTTCGCCATAAAACTGTTATTAGACTTCAATCTATGCTAGTTGACCAAAAAATAAAATAAATCAAATTCTCCGTTTGGACATAAAACATTTGTTAGACTTCAATATATACAAGTTGACCAAAAAATAAAATAAATCAAATTCTCTGTAATATGACGCATGGTGTTTTGAAATCAAATTTTTTTTCTTTTAAAAAAATGCAATATTAGGACAAACACGATAACATATTGAATCATTTTCTTGGGTTTCGGTCAAAGTACCGTTGGATTCTTTATAACAAAAATGAAGGAGTAACCGTGAGCATATATTCTTCCACAGCTGACTATATTGCGTTGACTTTTAGCTTTAACATTTTCAAGACACGAATTCATACTCGATGTGATATACGTATATATTGACGGATCTACGTTAGTATCACTGAATCGAGTTAAAAATCAATCGTAATTAATTAAACTAATTCATTCAACACTTTAAAGAAAAATTAATCTCATTGTCAACATTTGCAGAATAAACATTGTATTATTCAATCAGCCAAATAACATTTATACATAGATATAGATGTAAAGTAAACTTCCATTAGAACAACCAAATTAGTCCTATTAGAACACTAACATTAATCCTATTAAATTGATTTAACTCTTCATAATTCTCAATAATTTATCGAATTTTACAGAATTTGTTTAGATTCATCGCTGTGTATGTTTTTTCTTTTTATGGAATTAGATAGCATATAAACTCAGACTTTTTTTTTATCATTGATTTCAATTCTCGCTCCTCTTTTTTTTTTTGTAATATTACTATAGACAATAGGGGTAGCTATTTCGGGTTTCGGTTCGGATTTGGTTTGGTTATATTCGAGTTCGGTTATTTCGATTATAGAAAAATTATAACCATTCGATTTTTATATAAACTTCGGTTCGCTTCAGTTCGGTTATTGTTCGGTTCGGTTTCGGCAAAAATTTTATTTTTTCAAAGAAATTGTAGGTTTTTTCGGTTATTTTTTTATTCGGTTCGGTTCGGTTTCAGTTTTTTCGGATTTACAGAAATCATAACCGTTCGGTTTTAACGTCGGTTTCGGTTCGAATACAGTTATGTCTTATTCGATTCGGTTCGGTTATTCGGTTAATAACCGAAATGACCACCCCTAATAGGCAGGATTCTAGAGTATTGCTTCCATATCTTTGTAAGAGTGAACTCCTTGTCATCCCTCACTAGAGCTCTAGCTTTTATGTTTCATAACTTTGCTAATTTTGAAGCTTGTTTTGCATTTTACTTAAATTTCTTGATACTTTCTTGCTATGCTTTCTTGATACTTTCACACAAAGTTCTTGTTTTTATTCTTACAACACATAGAAACATTATTTGTATCATACAAAACGTTCGTAGTATTAAGGTAATATCGAAATATCTATATTATTTAACATAGTTTTCCTACGTAATTTTTTCAATATATATTACAATAATGCCATTAACGTTCTATTTTAAGGGTCGTTGCTGCAGCGGCATGGACAGCAAGCGCCTCTAGGAGCCGGGGCACAGCACATGCATTGCGGACACATTCGGATCGGAGTCCCGATTTTTCTGTTTCCGGTTATACGAGTATCTAAAAAGAAGAAGAAATCAAACAAAGAATCAGTACAAAAGATATGCTCTGTATGGATTTTATACAATGAGATATCGGCCTTTTTTACGGAAAACTCTAGACAGACTTTGAGGTTTCTTGCCTGTCGGTTCAGCGTCGGTGATATGTATATCTGCACGGAAAAAAAATGGCACGAAGAGAAAGAAACGATGTTTGTACTATAAAATCTACTCGATGATCGATATGTTCATCGTGTTTTCGGGATTTACTTACTTGCATTACATGGAAGAAACGCAGTGGGAGATAGAAGGATGGCTATGATGAAAAGGGTCAGGAAGATTTTCCTCGAATGGCTATTTGAAGCCATGGCTCTGTCTTGTTTTTTCTTTCTTATGACTGGCTTGTGTCGCGTTTTCTGCACATGCATTTATAGACTTGCGTTGCAAAAAAGAGAAAATTGAGGAGATAAACTTATTATTATTATTATTATTATTATTATTATTATTATTATTATTATTATTATTATTATTATTGGCTATTATGCTTGATTTGCTTATCTCCTGTATGAATTTTTAGATAGATTGCCCTATAAAAATAATTTGCAATACCAGACATTTATGGATACCTACAAAAATCCAAATCATATATGCTCAAAAAACTATCAAAACTTTTGTGCATGGAATTACAAGCTATGTGAAAATACTATATATATATATATATATATATATATATATATATATATATATATAAATATAAATATGGAGAATTAGATTGTTTCAGTAATGGTGTTCACGAATTTAAAGGTACTAAGTTGCATTCTTGGTGTATACAATGTTTGGATCAACAAACATTTTCAATGGTTTTGGTCTAAAAAATAATTGATGTGTCCTATTTAAAAATATTGATTTCATACACAAAATGCTGTTAACTGTAAGCATATTATTATTCAAGAGCTGACTACTAAAACTCATTCAACACGTAAGTAAATAGATATGTCTAGTTGTCATATTCTTCTTCCTTTATTAACTTTATTTTATCTAAGAGACGAATATATATATATATATATATACTGATCCCGTATTTTGTCCGACTATAAGATTTGATAGAGATAGCAAAATTAACAACGTTTATTAATCTACTTATTGTCCCCAAATTATTAGCATTTGTTTGTCTTAAACATTGACGTTTTGATTTTCCAATTAGTTTCATTTCTATTATCTTTCTTATTAGTTTTTATATTTTTTTAAAAATATATCCGTTCAAATTTTTTTATATGATTTGATTCGATTTCAAATCCATTCAATTTTTTTTGGTGAAAAACATATTGATTTTTTTTTCAGAAATGCTATTTTTAATTTGTTTTTTTTCAATTGTTTTTATATTAATTATTGTTTCGACTAATTTGATTTTTAGATTTATAGAAAACTATTTCAATATTTACAAAAAAAAAACTATATTCAAATTTTTTTTTGATCAAATTCTTTCCGGACACGTTAGCTGTTATTAATTATCCGTAAATGTCAACCGTTTTGTAAATTATGTCTCGGTCAACTCTTCATGCGTGGAATTCTTGGTCATTTACAATAACTGTAGTTTCTGGTCAAAGTTACGAACTATAAGCCGAAATCGAATTCAATAATTAAAAAAGTTTATACTATGAAAACATTTTTTCCCTTTAAATCCTATATAACATGTTTTCTATTTCTGAAATGATGAATATTCGTAGGACGAGCAATTCCTATCGAAAATTTAACGTATATTCTAACCCAAGATTTATATATATATATATATATATGTCATTTACACAGAATTTGATGTGCCTAACGCAATATTGAAGTTTATTTTCAGACAATTTCTTTTAAGTTCTTGGCTTTAATACCGATGCTTTGGACATGATCTTTGTCATGTCAGAATTCAGATTTATTGCTAAAGACGAAAGAGATTACGAGACGCTAAACAGAACGACAAAAAGCATAATTCCGAATTCTTCTCTCTGTGTTATGGAGACTGAGAGTGATGAGATTGAGTTTGAATGGGCGATGGACAACATCTGCAGCATGATCCTAGCGGCGGCGGCTCGCAACACACGCAAGCTGGGCATATCGGGCGTTTCGTACTTATAGAACCTTTGCAGCATTTTGTAACGAAATCGATGAGACATATGAATGAATCAAATAAACAAGAACCCTTTGGCGTAGTTAATCTGACAGAACGGATTGTTTTTCAAGTTATCTAATCGGAAATTATACTGCTAATAGACTCACATAATTATCCAATTATCTCTCGATACAGACAGATTCATGTTCTTTTGTTTGTGCGTATACCTGTCGGGATCCGAGGCGTGCGAGCAGCGTCGCTAGGTGATAACGGAAGAAATAGAAGAGAGAAGATGAAAATGGCCAGGAAGATGGATTTGCCATTGAGAACAGGCGCCATTGATGCTTGCCCGTCTCTCACAATAGCAGAAGTAGGGAGAAAAACAAAGTTTCCTTGTGTTTTGATTGATGTGGCATGTATTATGAGAGGACATATATATATATATATATTGTATATTATAGGTGGGTATTTTTTTTGTAAGGCATTTAATGAATTTGTCTGTGGGTATTATTGAATCTGCAAGTGGCAAAGACTTTTATCATATGTCTGTTCAAACTCTGTGTCCTCTCATAATCTTGAGTTCCTCTTATTAGACTTTGTATCCAAATCTCAAAATTCAGACATGTTAAAGCAATAAAATAGCATATTCAGCATCTAGAAGGTTCAAATTGATAAATGGAAGAATGCAGTCAAATCTGGACAGCACACAAGGAAAGAAGTGATAAAAGGAAAGAAGACATTCACATCAATCAAGAAAAGGCAAGGCATATATTCGAAGGATATTGAGAGAATCACTTGGAGAGGTCTATATATACTGAAGACCCCATTACAGAAGGAATGTCGAGATTATTGCTATTGAGAAGCAGAGTCTGTGACCTTGGTGAGAGTCACATGTACGGGAAACACTGGTGAGAGATATCTGAGAGAACGTGAGATAGATCTGAGGGGGAGCTTTAAGTAACAGGCGAACCGCTCACTGGCCTAGACGAGGTCTAGGGTAACACGTGGTGTGCGCTGCACACAAAGTGTTTGTGGCTGATAGAATTTCTTGTGATACTGGGGTTTTTACTCAGAGGGAGTGAAACTGGGTGGGTTAAGTGCTACTTGGAAAGGATTGAAGTGTACTTGACACATATCAACGAAATAGAATCGGTTTGGAAATTTTTGATTTGCAATATCGTGTGAGAGTGCTTTTTTAATTGGTATCAGAGCAGGTCACTGATCGTAGGAATATTTCCTCTCATATCGGTGTAAGATTCAGATTCACACGATGGAAGGTTTCAAGAAGTTTCAATCGCTCGGGAACACTACTATGCTCGACTCAACCAACTATGGGCATTGGAAAGTCAAGATCAGTTCTTATATTCGTGGGCTTGATGAAGATACTTGGAGTGCAGTTACAGACGGATGGACTCGACCGACTGATATTATCGATGGAATTGCCAAAGTGAAACCAAAGAGCCAATGGACAGATCAAGAAAAGCGGGACTCTGCCTTGAACCAGAAAGCGCTATCTATCATTTTCAACAGTGTTTGTCATGAAGAGTTTGAACAAATTCAAGGATGTGAAACTTTCAAGGATGCATGGGATACTTTGGAGCTTATACATGAAGGAACATCCAAAGTGAAAAGAAACAGATTGGATATGATAGATCTCCAATTTGAGCGCCTAAGAATGGGAGATGATGAGAGTGTTAAAGAGTTCTGTGGGAAGTTGAGTGCTTTGTCGAATGAGGCGAGTGTACTTGGAAGGAGAATCAGCAATGACAAACTTGTGAAGAAGCTCTTGAACAGTGTACCAGAGCAATGACAAACTTGTGAAGAAGCTCTTGAACAGTCTACCAGCAAAATATCATTCTCAGATCTTGGTGTTTGAAGGAGTAAACAATCTAGAGACCGTCACATTCAAGGAAGCTGTAGGTACTTTCGCTGCCCATGAATTGAGGCTACAATTGATGAATGGAGGGTCATCTGTCCAACAGAAAAAAGGACAAGGGATCGCTCTTCATGTTCCTGTAACAAGAGAGACCGAGTTAGAGAGTAGAAAACCGGTGAAGAACAAGAAACAGTCTGAAGAAGAGTTGCATGATGAGATGGCTTCTGTCATTAGGAAGTTCAACAAGTTCTTCAAGGGAAAGAATAAATTTGGACAGCAAAGTGACAGAGATTCAGGAAAATGCTTGGAGTGTAAGGGTGCAGGACACTAGAAGGCTGAATGTCCGAGCATTGCAAGGATGAAAAGCGTGCTGAAAAATCTCAAGGAAACTCAATGCTTTGAATGCAAGGGTTTTGGTCACACAAAGAGGGAATGCATAAAACAGAAAGGAAAATCCTTGATTACTCATGAAGATGACTCTTCAGATGAAGAAAGTGAGGGTGATGAGGATAATCTATCTAACTTTGTGGCATTCCTCGGGGTTATCGAAGAAGAAAATGATGAAGTGATAAATAGTGATGATGAAGAAGTCACTGAGGAGGAATTGTTCGAAGAGATGAACAAACTGGTGAAAATGAATAAGCAGCTGATCAGTGAAAAACAATAGTTGGAGAAGGATCTCAGTCGAGTTCAGATGCGACTGACAGACACTCAACATCTAACTTTGTGGCATTCCTCGGGGTTATCGAAGAAGAAAATGATGAAGTGATAAATAGTGATGATGAAGAAGTCACTGAGGAGGAATTGTTCGAAGAGATGAACAAACTGGTGAAAATGAATAAGCAGCTGATCAGTGAAAAACAATAGTTGGAGAAGGATCTCAGTCGAGTTCAGATGCGACTGACAGACACTCAACATAAGCTAGCTCAAAAAGAAGAAGAAGCTTCACTTATGAAATGTCAGTTGGAAGGCACTAAGAAGAATCTGCACCTTCTCGGAAATGGAACTGGAAAGCTGGTGTTGGTTGTAATGCTCTAGGATGATCCATGATATGACATTTTACTTTGTATTGATTCATTGATTTATGAATGCATTATTTATCCGGTATACGATTAGCATGTTTGTTGTATTTCGGCATCCTTGGATCATTAGAGAATGATTCTAAACTCCCTAGTCAGTCATCATTGTGGGAACAATGTTGAATGAAGACTAGCATGAGGTGTGATCAACGCGTTGGATGTAGATCACAATCATGGGTACTCGTTGTGAACGAGTGACTGGATGACCCGCATGAGATTGTCACATGGACAGAGTCATGACTTGAATCTCATACAGCGGTTCGTTTATGGATCCTCATACCTGAGATGTCTAGAGTATCTGATATGAGGAGTGACGTGTCTTGACTGCGTCAAACGTCGTCTTTAACCGGATGATTATAACGGCGTTGATCAGATACGTTCACGAATCATATGGAGATAGTAGACATGCAATATGGGATTTGTCACCTCCTTAACGGGAGAGATATCGCTGGGCCCTCTCGTGGAAGTCGGACTATGAAAACGCGTGGCCACGCTATAGATGAAGTTGCATCTATTTTATTAGTCGATTTGCCAAGACGAGAAAGCAGTTGAACTTGAAGGGTGGCTCAAATCATGCCCTTGTTCAACTTATGATATTGTGAGACAAAGGATCAGAATTCGAGCTGTTAATGCCTTGGTTAGATCACCTCTAACTCAATTCTAAATGGGTGGTCATGGCGTCTTGGTAGAGGTCAACCATGACTTGTGGTTCGGGAAAGGTTCCTAAAGTCACTACCACTTAGAATGGGCCTACAGGGTCACACACCAATAGGGATGGACTTATACGTGAAGAATACGAAGAATGGAAACGAGATTTGACCGAAACGAGCATGAAAAGGAGTTTTCAGTGCGTTGGTCCGGAACTGACCAATTTTGGTCAGCCCCGGACCAAGTTTGGTCAGTCCGAGAGGTCCGGAAGCTCGGTCCGCGGTCATCTGTCAAGGCCTGGTCCGGCTGACCAAGAGTTGGTCACCCCGTCGGACCGAACTGACCAAGAAGGGTCTTGGTCCGGAGCTGACCACACGTGGTCCGCCGGACCAAGCCTTCAGGTCAGCCGGTCCGTGGGCCTCGGACTAAGCTTGGTCCGCCGGACCAAGCTCTTGGTCCGACGGACCGGGATCCGGAATATTTCCAAAAATTCGTTTTAGGGTTTTCTAATCTTATTTAGTTTTGGGATTTTCGTCCAAACTAAAAAGAGAGCCGACCTAAAACTCAGAGAAACATCCTAGAACCCTAGAGAACCTGTTCTGTTCGATTTATATTGTCCCGGGATTGGATCTCGTCTCTTGAGTTACCCTTTTCTTCACTAATCCTAGCAGATTCGTTCCAAATCGTTTGGAATCCTTCCCGTCGGTGTGGATACGTGTAGAGGAGTTGTACTTTCAGCTCTTGGTGATTTAGAACAGGCCCCGGATCGAAATAAACTTCAAGTCTCATCGAGAACGAGGTAAGTAACGATTCCCTCGGTGATATACACGATCTTTCAGGTTTTTTTTGCGAGTTTGGTTGCGTGTGACGTTTGACTAGGTTTAGATCTTTCTTCCGCTGCATGAAACCTAGTAAACCAAACCCTAGATCGATATGATCGCATGCTAGGAACCCGTAGATAACCCAACAGCTGGATCATTTACTGGGATTAGGTCGAAACTCTGGAGATCACTCTGGCCTTGGATATCAAGGTAAATCACATTCTGATCTAAAATTTGTGTCTGGGGGAAATTTGAGTCAAGAACCATCTGCAACCAAACGAAGTAGTACTCACCCACGACAGTTTGTGAGAAAGACTAATTGGAGAGATCGAGAAAATAGGAGTTGTTATCACTGTGGCAAAGAAGGACATCTCAGACGTAACTGTTTCTATTTAAGGAGAAACAGAGGAATTTCCAGGTATCCACCACCATCCTATGATTATCATCCTTGGAATCTCAGGTGGGATCGTAAATCAGATTTAGCGTGCAATGTGGCATACACTACTGAGCAGAACAACGATACTGGAATCTGGTACTTTGACAGTGGATGTTCCAGGCATATGACTGGTAATCAAGCACTGTTGAAAGGGTTCATTGAAACACCAAGTGGAGGGAGTGTTACATTTGGTGATGGGAAACAAGGAAAGATTCTGGGTAAAGGAACACTGGATCATGCTGGGCTACCCAAGCTGACTGATGTCAAGGTAGTTCAAGGACTGAAAGCCAACCTCATCAGTATTAGTCAGCTATGTGACAATGGGATGAGAGTGAAATTTACGAAGAATGCCTGCTTCGTGTCTGATGTGGAAAACAAGTGTGTCCTAACAGGGAAGAGGAATTCCAATAACTGCTACACTTGGATCAACTCAAAGAGAGAATCTACGCAACATTTGAGTTTTCTGGCAAAGAAAGATGAGGATGGAGAAGATGTAGACACAAAACTCTACAGAGGGATGGCGGTCAAGCGGATCATTAAATATGTGAAGGGAACTCTGGAGTTTGGATTGCACTACACAAAGGTCTCTAGCTGCGAGTTGTTGGG